GTCAGTAAATCAAAACATATTTCTCCAATACTATTGGGTATAATTTTTCTTCATAAACTTACTTTTCCCACGGTGATGCTACTCCAAGGAAAGTGACTAGCACTTTGGAAGCTATTTTAATCTATGTTGGGAGGGATGTGTGTGATCAGTTGTTAATAAGCATGAGAAGGAAGGCATCAGTTATATTCCCTGGGAATATAACAGCATGCATCCAGGCAACACCAGAACGTCATCCTCCTGGATCAACGTTCTGTACCACACAGAAGACCTTTCAAGGTGTATCTGTATTGGTTCCACAACTTGTCACAAAAATTAATTTCTACTAATAGAAAACATCAAAAATTTTTTTATTTATTAATGGAGGTAATGGGGATTGAACCCAGGGTGTTTTCCATGTTAAGCACACACTCTACCACTGAGCTATACCACTCCCCCCCGAAAAAAAAATCAGTTGTTAAAACACTTACAACCACAGGCTGAACTGGATTGACAAATGCTTGATCATAACTTCTTTTCCTAGGTCTGTATGTTGACTTTACTCTCCGAAAGATATTTCCCACTGAAAATAAAATATTGTGCTTTGGAAAATGCATTTAAGAGGGTAATTATATCTGAACACTTCCATGGCCAAATGGTGATGCACACTAATTTTTGAATTTTGAAAATAAGTCTCAGGTAATTTAATTGTGTGTGCTTTCCAATCATACCACATCTGGCAACTTGTAAAAGCAATTGTTTATGTCATGCCCAAGCTGACAGAAAAATCACCATAAGACACATGGGAAAAGACAAGAAAAGATTTCCAAAAGGGTTGGGTTTCACAATGTGATTCACCATCATGGAGATATTTAAGAAAATACCACTACAGTAAATGGCTATTTATCAAAAAGTGGAAAGACAACAAGTGTTGGGGAGGATGTGGAAAAAAGGAAACACTTGCGCACTGTGGCTGGGAATGCAAGTTCCTGCAGCCACTGTGGAAACAGTAGAGGTGTCTCAAAAAACTACAAATAGAACTACCATAATGACTTAGCAATTCCACTCCTGAGTATCTATTGAAAAGAAAGAAAAACACTAATTCAAGAAGATACGTGCACCCCAATGTTCATACCAGCACTACTTACAACTGCCAAGATACGGAAGCTACCTCAATGTTATCAACAGACAAAGGGATAAAGAAGATGTGGTATATATATGGAGAGAGAGAGAGAGAAAGAGAGGGAGACAATGGAATACTACTCATCAATAAAAAATGAAATAATGTCATATGCAGCAACATAGATGGCCCAGGAGAATGTCATTCCAAGTGAAGTAAGCCAGAAACAGAAAGAAAAATATAATATGATATCACTGATATGTGGAATCTTTTTAAAATGACATAAATGAGCTTATTTACAAAACAAAAACAGACTCACAGACATAAAAAACAAACATATGGTTACCACGGGGAAAGGCGAGGTGGAGGGATAAACTGGGAGTTCCGGATTTGCAGATGGTAACTACTATATATAAATAAAACAGGTAAACAAGGTCCTACTGTACAGCACAGGGAACTATACTCAATACTTTGTAATAGCTTATAATGAAAACATATGAAAACTTATATACATAACTAAATCACTATGCTTTATACCAGAAATTAGCACAACATTGCAAATCGACTACATTTCAATTAAAATAAATTAAAGCTATATATATGTCCAAAGGTCCTGTATGTAACATTCCACAAATGAAACCCATGTAGGAGAAAAGTACCAAAATTAATAGCAAAATTATTTATGAATAACGCCAAATATAGGGTCTAGCAGTGAGCATAAAGGAAATGGGGTAGAAATAAATGAACTGGCATCGTTGAGAGTTACAATCTGGAATCCTTCAACAGTGGCCTAAGTTATATAAATGTTTGTTTCAAAATATTCCATATCCAGGAAAAATAATTTGTCTCATGTTAAACGGAATAATTCAACTTTGGATTTTTCTAACCATAGAAGGATATGACCACCATTTAAAAGCTGCATTAAAGTCATATAAAACCAGCTACGTGTATGCCAGTATCCTGAATTATCCAGCTTTTATCAAACTGACCATACAAAAACATCAATTAAAGAAACAGTGGCCATCATTCATGATTCATTTCTCAACTCTTTATCCTTCTCCATTGAACTATCGACTCCTGGGCAAAAACTGAGCTAAATTATAGTACTGAGTTTTAAGCAAAATCATTCACCTTTTTTTATGATAAAATAGGTGGCAGGAAGACACAAATTTTGGCATGAAAGACAAATTTAGTATTCAATACTCAACTGCTCTCTGATAAAAAAGATCCGTGTGCCTCAATTTCTCATTTATAAACGGGGGAATATTTATTCTAGTGAAGGATTGCCCTAAGATGCAAACTACACTCTCTTCACTTTTCCAGTCAATTCTCAGGGAGTGTTTGAGATCCCTTTCTGCTGTTTCCTTTCCTTCTGTTATTGGCATCTCAACATGCATGAGACAACACACCCACACACACACACACACACACACACACACACACACACACACACGAGGCATTCCTCTTCTCTTCCCCTTCACCTTCAACTGCAGATGCTCCTTCATCCTCTTTTGCTTCACCAGGTTTAATGTCCTGACTTGAAGTTGGTGGCTCCCATTCTTGAGGTTGCTTATCACCGTGGGCCTACACATATATGTGTGTAAATTAAAAAGTTTTGTTACTGACACATGCCAACAATATAAATATACACAATACACAGATATATTTAATATCTGTAAATCGAAAGATATTTCTCCAATATTATTGGGTATAATTTTTCTTCATAAACTTATTTTTCCCATAGTGATGCTACTCCAAGGAATGTTACAAGCACTTGGGAAGCTATTTTAATCTATGTTGGGAAGGATGTGTGCAATCGGTTGTTAATAAGCATGAGAAGGAAGTCATCAGTTATATTCCCTGGGAATATAACAGCATGCATCCAGGCAACACCAGAATGTCATCCTTCTAGATCAACGTTCTGTATCACACAGAAGGCCTTTCAAGGTATCTGTATTAGTTCCACAACTTATCACAGAAATTAATTTCTACAAATAAAAAAAACAAATGTTTTATTTATTCATTAATGGAGGTAATGGGGATTGTACGCAGGACGTTGTACATGTTAAGCACACACTCTACCACTGAGCTATACCACTCCCCCAGAAAAAAAGATCATTGTTAAAACACTTACAACCACAGGCACAACTGGATTGACACATGCTTGATCATAACTTCTTTTCCTAGGTCTGTATGTTGACTTTACTCTCCGAAAGATATTTCCCACTGAAAATAAAATACTGTGCTTTGGAAAATACATTTAAGAGAATAATTATATTTCAATACTTCAGTGGCCAAAAGGTGATGCAACCTAATTTTTGAATATTGAGAATAAGTCTCACGGTAATTTAATTGTGTGTACTTGCCAATCACACCACATCTGGCGACTTGCAAAAGCAATTCTTTATGTCATGCCCAAGCTGACAGAAAAATCACCATAAGGCACATGGGAAAAGACAATAAAACATTTATGAAAGGGTTGAGTTTCACAACATGATTCACCATCATGGAGATATTTAGGAAAATGCTACTAGAGAAAATGGCTATTATCAAAAAGTCAAAAGACAACATGTCCTCAACAGGATGTGGAAAAAAGGAAATCCTTGCCTACTGTGGCTGGGAATGTAAATTGCTGCAGCCACTGTGGAAACCATAGAGATGTCTGAAAAAAAGACAGAACTACAGAATGACTTAGTGATTCCACCACTGAGTATCCATTGAAAAGAAAGAAAAACACTAATTAAAAAAGATACATGCACCCCAGTGTTCCTATCAGCACTACTTACAACTGCCGAGATATGAAAGCTACCTCAGTGTCCATCAACAGACAAAGGGATAACAAAGATGTAGTACATGGAATACTACTCAGCAAGAAAAAATGAAATAATGTCACATGCAGCAACGCAGATGGCCCTGGAGAATGTCATTCCAAGTGAAGTAAGTCAGAAAGAGAAAAAAAAATACCATATGATATCACTTATATATGGAATCTGAAAAAATAACACAAATGTGCTCATTTACAAAACAAAAACTGACTCACAGACATAGAAAACAAACTTATGATTTCCATGGGGAAAGACGAGGTGGAGGGATATACTGGGAGTTCTGGATTTGCAGACAATAACTACTATATATAAATGAAACAGATGAACAAGGTCCTAATGTACAGCACAGGCAATTATATTCAATGCTTTGTAATAGTCTATAATTAAAAAATACGAAAATTTATATACATAACTAAATCACTAGGCTTCACACCAGAAATTAACACAACTTTGCAAATCGATTACACTTCAATTAAAAAGAAAAACTAATGCTATATTTAGGTCCAAAGGTCCTCTATGCAACATTCCACAAGTGAAACCCATGTAGAAAAAAGTACCAAAATTAATAGCAAAATTATTTATGAGTAACAGCATATACACTGTCTAGCAGTGAGCATAAAGGAAATCAGATAGAAAGAAATGAATCAGCATTGTTGTCAGTTACAGTCTAGAATCATTTAACAGTGGCTGGAGTTATGTAAATGTTTTGTTTCAAAACACTAGATATCCAGGAAAAGTAATTTGTCTCATGTTAATCTTAAAATAATTAATCTTTTGATTTTTCTGACCATAGAAGTATACACCCACCTTTTAAAAGCTGCATTAATTTTATATAAAAGCAGCTACTTGCATGCCAGTATCCTGAATTACCCAGCTTTTATCTAATTTACCATTTAAAAATATCAATTAACAGTGGCCATCATTCATGATTCATTTCTGAAGTCTCCATCCTGCTCCACTTGACCTATCTACTCCAGGGCCAAAACGGAGCAGAATTATAGTACACACATTTGAGTTTTAAGCAAAATCATTCACCTTTTCTTTACACTGACATAGGTTGCAGTAAGACACAAACTTTGGAATGAAATACAAATTTTGTCATCAAGAGTCAAGTGCTCTCTATTAAACACGATCCCTGAGTTTCAATTTTTGCATTTATAAAATGGAGGAAATTTATTCTAGCGAAGGATTGGCCGAAGCTGCAAACTATACTCTCTTCAATTTTCCAGCCAATTTTCAGGCAGTGTTTGGAATCCATTTCTACTGTTTTCTTTCTTTCTCTTATTGGCATATCACCATGTATGAGACATACACATACACAACACACGCACACACACACACCCCCAAAAGAGGCATTCCTCTTCCATTTCCCTTCACCTTGAAATGAAGATGCTCCTTCATCCTTTTCCTCTTCACCAGGTCTAATGTCCTGACTTGTAGTTGGTGGCTCCGATTCTTCAGGTTGCTTATCACCGTGGGCCTACACACATGTGTGTGCAAATAAAAAGTTTTGTTACCATTACATGTCAACGAAATAAATATACAGAATACAGAGATATATTTGACTATAAGCAAATCTAAAATTACTTCTTCAATACTAGTTGGTATACTTACTTTTAATAAACTTACTTTTCCAACAGAGACGCTACTCTAAGAAAAGTTACAAGGATTTTGGAAGCTATTTTACTCAATGCTGGGAGGGATGTGTGAACTCATTGTTTATAAGTATGGGAAGGAAGTCATCAGTTATATTCCCAGGGAATATAACAGCATCCATCAAGACAACATCAGAATGTCGTCTTCCTGGATCAACGTTCTGTATCACACAGAAGACCTTTCAAAGTGCGTCTGTGTTAGTTGAACATCTTTTCACAAAATATAATTCCTATTAATAAAAACATCAAATGTTCATTCATTTATTGATGGAAGTACTAGGGACTGAACCCAGGACATTGTACATATTAATCACCCACTCTACCACTGAGCTATACCCCTCCCCCACCAAAAAAATCAACTGTTAAAACACTTACAACCGCAGGCTCAACAGGATTGTCACATTGTTCATCATGACCCCGTTTCTTAGGTTTGTATGTTGACTTTCTGCTCCAACTCATATTTCCCACTGAAAATAAAATATCGTGATTTGGAAAATGCATTTAGTAGAATAAATATAATTGAACACTTCCATGCCCAAATGGTGATGCACACTGATTTTTGAATATTGAAAATACTTTGAAAATAAGTCTGAAAGTAACTTTATTCTGTGTGCTTCCCAATCACACAAAATGTGGAAACTTGCAAAAGCAATTGTTTATGTCATGCCCAAGCTGACAGGAAAATCAACATAAGGCACCTGGGAAGAGAAGAGCACATTTCTGAAAGAGTTTGCTTTCACAAGCTGATTGACCATTATAGAGATACTTATGAAAATACCACTAGAGAAAACGGCTATTATTAAAAAGTCAAAAGTCAACATGTGTTGGGGAGGATGTGGGAAAAAGGAAACCGTTACACACTGTAGCTAGAAATGTAAATTGCTGCAGCCACTGTGGAAACAGTAAAGGGGTCTCAAAAAATACAAATAGAACTACCATAATGACATAGCAACTCCACTCCTGGGTATCTATTGAAAAGAAAGAAAAACACTATTTCAAAAAGATACATGCACCCCAATGTTCATGCCAGCACTACTTACAACTGCCAAGTATAGAAGCAACATAAATGTCCATCAACAGACAAATGGATAAAGGAGACGTTGCACACACACACATACATAAAATGGAATACTACTCAGACATGAAGAAGAACAAACCTTTGCCATTTGCAATAATATGGATGGGATTGCAGCATGTTACGCTACGTGAAATAAGTTAAACAATGAAAGATAAATCCTGTATGATATCGCTTACATGTGGAATCTAGAAAATAGAACGACTCAATATAAAAAGAACACTATATTCACCAAAATAGAGAAAAACTCGTGGTTACTAGTGCAGAGAAGGAGTGGTAGATGGGCAAGGTACAGGGGGAGGAGTAAGAGCTACAAATTATTAGCTATAAAATAAGCTACAAGGACATATTGCACAACACGAGGAATACAGTCAATATTCTATAATAACTTTAAATACACTATAAATTTTAAAAATATGCTTGACTATATTTTACACCGATAACTTAGCAAATACTTGCATCCCCTATGCTTATATTAAAAGAAAAAGAAATTACCACTAGAGGATTAATACTTGAGTAACTACCATTTTTGGCACACTTTCATTTATTAAGGCCTTTCTCGGTCCCCCCTCAATGACATTTTATTGAAACACAAAGCCACACTTGTTCTTTTTCTGCACTGAAACGGCAGGGTTGACTGGTGGCAATAAAAACTCTGTGTAGCACTGTCTTACCTGGCACGATGCTCAGTGCACTACAAATCTCAGGACACAGTCAAAACCACACATCCGTCCGTTTCTAGGCTTTTCCTTTACCGTCACCTTGTCCCCTGTCCCTACCCAGGGGCCCCAGTGGCGACTTTGGATTCTCTGCACTGTCGGCAGTTTCAGTGTCTCCAGGACACAGATTCCACAAATAATGCCCTCAAGGCTCACCCCATCTTCACCCGACTCCCTGCCGTCCGCCTCCCACTGTCCCCCTGTTCCCACTGCCACCTCGACAGCCATGGCGGCAGTGACACCTGTGAGAAGGACGACGACCTCGAAAACCGTTCTCCTCCAAAGCCACAGATCGCACCGCCAGAAGCCCGCTGACTCCCA